ATAGTCTCAAATCTAAAAATTCTATTATAAAGAGGTTGAGGAGGTTCCAAATTAATAAGCAAAAAGCAATGATCAGAGTGAGTACGAGGTAAATGTATAACTGTGGAGTTTGAAAATAAATTTAGCCAATCATAATTAGCCAAAAAACGATCAAGCCTTTCTAATATGGTACGTCCATTTCTTTGTTTATTAGTCCAGGTAAACCGACTGCCCTGAAAACCCAAATCAATAAGGCTACATCTATTCATAAAATTAGCAAATTTATCTAACCTATTGTTATTAATTGGTACACCCCCAAACATTTCCTTAGCTTCTAAAATTTTATTAAAATCTCCCCCTATTAGCCAAGGCATACCATTATTAACATACAGGTTAATTAAACTATTCCAAAGCATATCACGTAATTGATAGAGTCTACTGGCGTAAATAGCAGATAAAATCCAAGTAGGTTTTGTAGGACTAACCTGGACAAGGCAATGTATTTCCTGTTCCCCAACTCTCATTTCAGTTACATTGATGAGAACAACATTCCAAAGAACCACTGATCCTCCTATGATCCCATTTGCAGGAGATTGAGCCATGTTACTAAAGTTAAATTCTTCATGTAGCCTTTCATGGTCATGCATGTGGGTTTCAAGTAAAATAGCAAGAGTAGGTCTATGGCTATCTAAAAAAGACCTAAAATGTCTCATAAACTTTGGATTGTGAGAACCCCTACAATTCCAAACTAGAAAATTCATGTAAGAATTAGGGTTCCTGGGTTGGGACAAAGGATTTTGAGTCACTAGTGAATCCAGACTCAGTGGAAGTTGAAGAAGTATTGGTATGATCACCATAGCATACATTCCTACGTCGGGATTGGTGGTTGGTCGAAAATTGAGGCTGCATGTAACCATTTCTGGTGAACACTTTAGAATAAACTTTTTTCGAACTGTTCCTTGAGGTTGTAAAACTGAATCCCTTTTAACCACCAAAATTTTGTTCTTGTCTCCCTCATCTCCGCAAGAATTGCTATCAATTCCTCTATTGTCTCTCTATCTAGTTCTTGTGTAGATGGAAGGGGGAGAGTGGACTGGGCTGTTTGGTGGAGTAAGACTCTCTAAGGGACTGAGTGGACTGGAATAAAGGGAGAGTTGATTGAATGTGTCCAGGGGCTGAAACCACGAGGCAAAAATCTAGCACATGTGATGTGGTGAATAGAAGGGTAAGAGGCTTACAGTTTTCTCCCACGCTGGACTCATTTGTGCCATTTGGTGTGACCATGGTTGTTGAGTTGAACTTGAAGCCTATTGGTCCATCGGAAGAGGAGTCTGTGTTGTATACCATTGGTTCAGATTGAAAGCCTTTATTCCCAACCTCATTCCTTCCGTCACTATTTCCGCTAAGTGAGTCAGATTTTGTATCAACAACAGCACCTTTTGGTTGTTGAGTTATAGGGTGAATATCAGTGCATAACCCTGCAACCCCATTTCTAGCCAAGATTGGAGAGGGAGATAGGTTGTCATCAGCTGAGATGTGTAAATCAGAGGTGATGAGCTCTGAGGCAACTGAGGACCAGCCATTTTGAGACGAGGTAGATGGAAGAATTGGCTACTGGATCGAAGATTCCGACTCATACCTATAACGTTGGCCTCTGCATTATCTAAGGATGTTTGATGTTTCTGTGATGCAGAAGTTATACCAGTAAAAGGGTTTGGAGTTTGAGTTGAGTGAGGATACGTATTTGAATTTAGAGTAGAAAGGATAGAGGACTGATCATGATGATCTTCACATGGTAATTACCTTAGTTTTGGGGAAGTTTAGGTTGAGAAGGAACAAAATTTACTGTAGCATGCAAAGTTGATACTATACTATTAATTGTCTGGTCCGATGTGTCTATCTTAGGAAGAGTCCCTTCTGAGTTGTCTATGTTTAATAGGTTTTAGGGTGTAAAGGCTTGGTTACATGGCATGTCTTGAGTATGTGGCATGCACTCTTGGGAAGACGTGTGAGAATTAACTAAAGATGGTGATTGAGGAGCTATAGAATTAGGGTTAGGAATAAAGGGATTGATTGATATGGTCGGCCACTTTTCATGCTTATAGAAATGGGTTTTGTGTATTTGTTGTGTAGAAAGAGACCCATTGCCCAAGTTATCAACTATTAGGCCTTTACTAGAAAGATTTTGGGGGGAGTCTGACGACCCAGCATTAGAGAGCATATGAAATTGATTGTATAATTTCATATTGGGCTGATTCAGATTCATTTGCTCTTGTAAAGTGACCCGACCCAAAACAGGTAATGTAGGGTTAGCAGACTTACCTGGTAATGGAAGCACCGCCTCTACCACTTCTGTAGCCGCCCTTACCGCTGCCTGTTCTCTTCCCATTTGTGGTTGTTTGGGTGGTTGTAACTTCTTCTTGGAAAAAACCACCGTTTTCCATTCATTATCCTTCGAGAGAGTAGCAGTAGGTGTGTTAATATTGTCCTGTTGTTTATTGAATTGGTTATTCTCCATAGGTAGACTAATTATCTCAGGACAATTAAGAACTGGATGACCAAATTTACCACAGTGCGTACAAAGTAAATCCAGTCCTTCATAGAGAAGAACCTGTTTGTGGTGTCCTATGAATAGATGTGTTTTTAAAGGTTTCTCCAATGGTACTTCAATACATATACGAGCATACCTACCTCGTGTAGTAGTTGAGGTACAAGTATCAATCTTTAGTAGTCTTCCTAACTTTGATCCAATCCCACAGAGTATTTCTAAATCATAAAACTCGGTAGGTAACTCAGGCATGCGTACCCATATAGCTGAGTATGTAAGTTGAGTGGACGATGCTTTAAACTTTGGCTCCCATCCTCGTACAGTTAGGAAATGACTAAGAATAAACCAAGGACCTCCATGCAAAGCTTTGATCATATTTTCCTCTTTTTGGAACTTAATGAGGAAAAAATCAGAACCCAAATTAATTAGAGGAAGTACCTCTGTAGGTTTCCATAAATTCATCAGCTCATCATACATGATTTGGTGTGTAATCCTTTTACCAAAAAACTTTACTATAACAGAGTACTTCCAAGGTTCATATATACAAGACTTATCAGTTGAGGAAATTGGTATAAAAGAGTCATCGTCAGCGGTAGTATGAAGTAATTCATCTGTTAGATCTAGAGTGTTTAAGGAGTGTATTAGGTTGGTTGAGGAACAAGGCAAAAGATGTTTCTCGCTTAGTAGTGTTTGTAGAAAAGAAAGTGTTTGTGTTTGCAGGGTTACGTCGTCAATTTGCATGGATCCTAAATCTGGTGGTTCTGAAACTTGATTACACTGGTCTGTTTGTTTGAGGGAATCAGCCATGATATGTGGTGTTTATGAGGAAGTTTTAAGGAAACAGTAGATATGTTCTATAATGGTAGCGGTTGTAAGCACTGTTTTTACATGGTAGAGAGCTTTTTTTCCTCCTTGAAAATTTTGTCGTCTTGTGATCTTGTCTATGTTTGGAACTCTTTATTGCACATAGGAAATATGTTTTCTAGGGTTGAATAGGGTGACAAGACCTACATTGTATATTATTAATCAAAAAAGGGCTATCTCAAAGTGTTTCCTGCCTTTTTAAAGTCACCTTCAAACGTCAATCTTTAAAACAACGGTTCAAAATGCCCCTAAACTATTAGAAAAGGTTTAAAAGTAACCTTCATTCACCTATTGAGCTAAAAATACCTCTTCATCCACCTTTTCGGTTCACTCGTGCCCTTTGAGCGTTAGGTCAATGCTGAATTAAAAATAATTACTTAAAAAAAAATTTTGCAAAATATTTTAGTTTTTTTAAACTAATGCACCAGTAGTCCACTAATTTAGTAATTTTTTTCAGTTTTAAAATACTTTCAGTTTTTTTCAGTTTTAATAAAGTATTTTCAGTTTTAAAAAACGAAAATATTTTATTAAAAACAATTTTTTCTGTTTTTACCAAAAAAAATCATTTTTTTACAAAACAAATTCATTTTTTTACAAAAAAATGCTTTAAAAACTCAAAAAAAAATGAAAAAAATATATTATTTTTTTTGTAAAAACTGAATTGTTTTTTTGTGAAAACTAAAAAAAATTACTAAATTAGTGGACTACTGGTGCATTAGTTTAAAAAAATGAAAATATTTTGCAAAATATTTTTTAAAGTAATTATTTTTAATTCAGCATTGACCTAACGATTAAAAGGCATCGGTGAACCAAAAAGGTGGATAGAGGGGTGTTTTTAGCCCAATAGGTGGATGAAAGTCATTTTTAAACCTTTTTCAATAATTTGGGGGCATTTTAAACCCTTTTCCGTTAAAACAATCATCATAGAATAAAGGAAAATTTTATTTTGTTTCTCATATAACTGACACTAATTGTATGAGATAACTTTTTTGTCTCATAGTTTTGTGGACCCAAATTTCTGTGGATTCAGAAGTGTAAGATTGGGGTCCACAAATTTGTGAAACATTGTGTCAGTTGTATGCGATACAAAATAAAACTTCTCATAGATAAAAGACTTAACCAATTTACTAACTTCATTCACGGGACATTGATTCTGATATTTAGAGTTGAAACAGCTTCAAAAACCAATAAGACTTAACCAATTTATTTTATTGTCTTTTATCCGCATTGGAAAAGGCTAATGTGTCATTCGCATCAAATGGGCATAGATATGCTGATGGAGATCTTAATAAGGGCATTTCCAACCTTTACCCCAATTCTTTTTTATATTCTTCTCACTCTTCAATATTACATTATTATTATCTTTCATTTCAATTTTATTTTTAATTCCCTTTAAACAAATTTCATCTTTTATTTAATTAATTTGTAATTTCTATTAAAATAATTTCATAAAATTTTAAATAATATAATTTGCAAGCAATGATTATAGATTAACTAATAATTCAAATAAAAGTGAAATCATTGCGATACAAAATTAATTAAATACATATTACATAACGATAAAATTCATTCAAAATACTACATAAATATTCAACTTCAACCTCTAGTATTCTCCCATAAATGATCTATTAATGCATTACAAAGTACAAAATGAGCATCTTTGTCCTTAATTCTTCAATGTCGAGCTAAAAATTCTTGAAATCGTTGATTTTCATCTACTGTCATTTATACTGTTGGAGGTGGACCTTCCAAATTATCTTGAATTGGTACATTAAGATCACGCTGATTCTCGATTATCATGTTGTGCAGTATAATACATGTAGCATTATATCATGCGGCACTTCTTTTTCCCAAAAACGTGACGGTCCTGCAATAATTGCAAAACGTTGTTGCAAAACTTCGAATGCACGTTAAACATCTTTTCGACATGATTCTTGTTTCATCGCAAAATATTTCTTCTTTACCGAACGTGGCTCACGAATAGTTTGCACAAGGATTGACCATTTCGGATATATACCGTCAGCTAAATAATAGCCCATATTATTTTTTTGTCCTTGAATAACATAACGAGCGGGAGGAGTAATATCTAATATTTTATATTCACACCTTTCAATTTTAGCAACATCTAATATTTTATATTTGCACCATTCATTTTTTGAGATGATTATATATTTTTTGTACAATTATAACTTATAATAAAATTAACTTACAATTTTACATAAAAATAATAAATGCACGAAAATTAATTTATCAAAATTATACGCCAAAGTTAAGATGTAAAAATTAATATTATAAAGATATTACATAAACATAATTAGGTATATATAAAGAGATAAATTAAAGAAATTAAATAATAAAATATGTATGAATAGTAATTGGGAGATGAATAGTGCCCCCTATATTTGGAGGAACACTATTCATCCCTATTTTGAAGGCAAAAATGGGGAGGGTTGGAGCTCTATTATGGTAAAAGTTGCCCCCGTTATGGAGAAATGGGGGAGGATTGGAAATGACCTAAATTGACCTTGCTTTGTACACTTCAACTAGTATACGTACCGGCGTGATGCGCGGATTGTTTTAAAGGAAAAAACTGATATAGTAGAAACAGATCTATATGGTAGAATAAATTTAGCAATCACATTCAAAAGAATTAAATCGAAAAACAATATATGAATTTCATAGGATTGTATCTATGCCGAGGACTTCATAGGATTGTATCCATGCTAGGGATCACCAATATTTATGCATTCACGCAAAGTTCAAGGATAAAATTTGTATCAAATTTAAAATAAAATCAATATAGATAATCAAGAAAAGAGCAGTCTTACATTTTCATTTGGAGGGGATTGAAGTTCATTTCCTTCACAAAATAAGGACAGTAAAAGGTTCTGCGTCAACTTATTCAATACCCTTCTCATCGTCCGGAGCATAACTAATCATCGCTTTTGCTCCTACTGAAAATACCAAATATTTTCATTAACTTTTGCATTAAATATTGTGTCTCCCACATGGTGTCATACTTGTGCATCTTCCCAGCCAGCAACTACTGCTTTTTGCTTTAATGTTTCAGCTACTTTGCCTGAATATTCCCATAAATGTCATAACCTATTCCAAATCTTGATACAAAATCTCATATTCCCACCACAATTGTACTTGGTGCCATGACCAACTTAGAGTATCTCAAATCTAAGTTGATGTTACAAAATATGGTCCTATCAAGTTATGGCAAAATAATTTAAATTGCTAGTACAAATTAGATCTAGTAGCCTTGAGATCAATACTGACTGCAAGATTCCAACGCTCTCACCAAACCTAAGGTGAAATGTGCTCTCACTTATCCTAAATATTTTTCTCCCTTGGAAGACAAAGCAAATTTAGCAACACACTATTTGGTGGAAGGCTCTAATTCCTACGTGTATTCAAAGACTTTGAAGGGTACATCTGTGCCTTCATATAAATATTATGGTTATTTGCTTCATAGTAAGAATGGTACACCAAATGTTTTGTCACCTGTTTGTAGTTACTGTGAACTTTATTATGAAGGTCCAGGAAGAAATATGTCGTGGGTGTCCATTTTTGGCAGCAGGGAGCAACACGAGAGAGTTTCTGAGGATTTATCCTAGGACGGCACTGCATAATTAGATGATGTATCATATTGTGCAGAACTCATATCGGGCAAGAGAACTATTAGAGAAATTATCTATTCTTTCTCCCTCGTAAACTAACCATGAACTGATTCAAATAGTTTGTCCATAACAAATGAAAATACCAAATTAACTAAACAGGAAAAGTTCAATACCAGGAAAAACATGAAATGATTCAAACATTCTATTCATAATTAATAAAACCAATAAACTAACTAATCAGACAGTTCTTAGTTTCTCCAACAGTTACACATCCAAACAACTTATGATGTCTTCTTATTTTTAATACTCTCTTGATCTTATTTTCTGATAACTGTGCATTCGAATCTTCTTCAACCATTGTTGCAGGATACCTATCTTGAAAACTTTAGTGATAAGCTAAAAATAGAGAACTATTATAAACAGATCTTAACTTTTTTAGTGATTAACTACAATTATCTTAACTTTAGTAAACTTATGGGACAGCTAAAAACAGAAAACTATTATCATCCTTTCAAACTTATTAAACATCTCAAGTAAATCTAAAAAGAGCAAAGGCATACAAATATAGCAGTAAGCTCATTTGAAATTTATTGTCAGATCTTAATGACCTTGTGACTTAAACTTTAAAGAACTTTGACGCTATTGGTTAACCTAAAGTTCTTTCAAGTTTAACAGTCATCGCATGCATATAGACACAAATATAGACACAAATTCAACTACGCAAAAATAAAAAAGGAAATGAATGCAGGGAAAAGGATCAGGTACCATTTCTTTCAATGCTGATAGTTTTATTTTTCCAAACAATTGTATTATACCTCAACTATAGCATTCTTTAAATTATTTCCCGACTTTTCGATAATCTTTGTTGTATCCCTATACCACAGCAGCAAAGAAATTGTACGTGTATAATCCATCACTTTGACTTGTAGCTTGTACCTGAAAGAGTTTCTGTTTTTAAATTTTTAATCTTTAATAATAGTTAAGAAAGTACAAATTATGGTCATACCTATGAGTGGCAAATTGAATCTGCCCGCATTTTTTAAAATAGAATTTCCTCTCCTCTCTGACTGCTTTCTTTGCGCAATTTTTGCATGTGAAATAGCATCATCCACGGTCTAATTCTACATGTACTATAGTTGCTACAACCCAGAAATTTCTTGTTGCGCATAAAAATTGTATATACAACTGTTATGTAGAGAAAGATAAGATAAAAGTTGTGCTAATTAAAAATTAACAAATTTAAAAAGTAGGTACTTACATGCTTACAGTCACTCAAATCCGCAATAAATTTTTTTAACTCCAACACTTCCAGATGCTAGCTCATCAACTACAGAATGAGTCATGTGATATGAAATTTGAGTAATTCTTTGTGAGCTTTCTCCACGCACAAAACTATTATGTATCATTTTTTAACTTGAGATACATTAATAAATATTAAGACTAAAATTTAATCTGAAATAGCCATAAATTTAGTATAACTTATAGAGGCCTGAAGCAAAAGTCAACAACTTGAGGAAGATTTTAATTGATCCAAAGCTTCCACGTGTGCCAAGTGTTACTCACCGAATATTGTTCCTTAAAAGTAATTTATTAGAGTTTACTACTTGAATAGAGAAAATTGTATTTCAAAGTATATAATTTAATAACCTCGATATCGGTGTGCACTGTTCTCTAATCAACTGCATGACGACGACAACTGGCTTATCATTGGATCTATTCAAATGTGGCTTGATCTGTTCCACAAAATCACCCCAAAAAGTTGTAGAGATATTATTGCTCCTACAATTATAATAAGGTTAAGCATGGAATCAAAATAAAGAATTGTTGAAATATTTATCTAGTTAAAAGATTGTGGAAAACTTACTCATAATCTTGTATCACAATGTTCATGAACATACTAATGTTATCATCTTGTTTTATAGACTGTACATCCTCATAGCTCACAGTTTCCCCAATAACATTTACAATAATATTGGTGAAGAAAATCTGTGCAAAATAATATAGCAATTGGTAATTATTATTGACAATATAAATGAAGATTGTAAAGGAATTAATAAATTTTACGATATACCAAAGAAATAACAATTGGTATACCAAACATAAAAGAACAAAAAATAGATTACGGAATGTTAACTGAAAGTGAAAATCAATATTATAAGACAGCAATCAGATTGTCATTTTCGATAAAGAACACCTCAATTTTATAATTACTTTCATTTGTTACAAAAAAGGCAAGTAGTTACCTTTCAAGTATGTATAACAACTTATGTAAAATATTTGGCAGGATTTTGACTATAGGCGTCTTGCCTAACTTACCATCTGCATTTACTCTTATGATTCTTCTTCCATGGTACTTAAGTTTACTCAAACATAAATATATATAAACACAGTCTTTTGTTCTTTCACCTTCTTATAAAATATAATACCAACATGGAAAAAAAGATCTTTTGGAGTCTTCTAAAATAAATTACTATCTTCATTATTAAAATTTCATTAGAATGACAGATAGAAGAAATAAAAGAAAGAAGGATAAAGTTACCGCAAGCAAAACTAATTGCCCACCTAAATGCTTAAGGATTTAACAATATCAAGAAATTCATCTTTAATCTAAAACTTAAACTTTGATCTTATGTACTGTTATTAGAATTGATTTAGACAACCACAAAATTCTTCATGATGTACAAACTCATTTCCTTAATTTCTTGTTTGAACCTTTGGATAAAAGACCTGCCCAATACTTGCATGAATACGGTTGCCCGAAAAAAAACTCAATTAGTAAAAATGACTAAGTTATTCCATATATGACTATAATATACTTACGCATATGTAAACAATACAAAATAGAAAGTAATCGTAAAGTTGAAAACAACACCCTTTCATCCATCAGAATAATGTCAATTGAAAAAAGGCTATCAGGTCTGTCCGATCCAAATTTTCCCAAAGCCTAACAATACGAAGCTTCAATTTCTAACTCATTGACTTGCTGTTAATTTCGCTAACAAAATTTATTTCAACCGCCATTAAGTCCTCTGGTAATTGAGAAGAAATGTAAATCAAAATAAAGACACTAATACATAGTGTAATCAATGAATTAACGCAGAATACTCTTAGAAATGTAATGAGTATTTTAGAACTACAAATCATATAACTTACCTCCTGTAATTCAGAATTTTTGAGTGGTATGCGAAGAAAAGAGAAAGAATTGGAGGTATATACTGTAAAAATGTGAAACAGACATGAAAAATTTGAAGAATTATGTTACCGAGAATCCGTTTAAGATTGGATTTGTGGGTTAGGAGTTAGAAATCGTGGAGGTACATTGTGGGGTGTTTAAAGTGCACACTACCTAGGGTTTAAAATTTTAGACAGAAAGGCGCGATGATAAAGCAAATAAAAAGGCTCCAGCCCTTGTTCGTAACTTAATTTTTTAAAGAATGTAAAACATTTGATATTTCATTATTTTTAAATTAAAATAATTATCATCATTAGAGTATGTCGTTCCCACATTTTATTACGTCTTGCTAACTTCCTAAAAATTAGTCATTGTTGATAAGTTAATTTTTTAAAATGTGAAAAGATAGTTATTTCAGTGTTTTGAAATTCAAATTCAAAAAATAATTTAAAAAGATAGTTATTTCAGTATTTTGAAATTCAAATTTAGAAAACAAACTAAATTTATTACTTCTTGGTAACTTCCTAAAAATTAGTCGTTGTTGATAAGTTAATTTTTTAAAATATGAAAAGATAGTTATTTCAGTATTTTGAAATTCAAATTCAAAAATCATTTTAAAAAAATAGTAATTGTTTCAGTATTTTAAAATTCAAATTTAGAAAAACAAACTAATTTTATCTAACTTCAACTAATTTGTCCTGAAATTGCCAAATGGTATTTTATTAACGCAACACTTAGCAAATTATCATGGATAACTTTTTTCTTTTTAATAATAGATAGATGTTATTCCTTCATCACAGATTTTTTTCGCATTTGACCTTGGTTGATTTATAAAAGAACTTTCAACTAGGCCAAAATTGGAAAACGAATTTGTGCTCATTATGTAATTAAATAAAAGGGGTAAGGAATAAGACAAAGTGCACTCACATTGCCATTTGTGAACAACTTATTTTTTACCATGTTTGAATTTATTCCTACTTTTCTCTACTCTCCCCACTTTCCCCACTTTCTCCACTCACTACCCATTTTTCTCATTTTCCCCACTCATGTTCCCCACTCTCCCCATGTTCCCCACTCATGTTCCTCACTCTCCCCACTTTCCTCACTTTCTCCACTCACTACCCACTTTTCCCACTTTCTTCACTCACTACCCACTTTCTCATTTTCCTCACTCATGTTCCCCACTCTCTCCACTTTCCCCACTTTCTCCGCTCACTACCCACTTTCCCCACTTTCTCCACTTTCCCTGTTTTCCCCACTCATGTTCCCCACTCTCCTCACTTTTCCCACTTTCTCCACTCACTACCCACTTTCCCCACTTTCTCCACTCGATACCCACTTTCCTCATTTTCCCTACTCATGTACCCCTCTCTCCCACTTTCTCCCCTCATTACCCACTTTCTCCACTCATGTTCCCCACTTTCCCCACTTTCCCCACTCATGTTTTTCACTCTCCCCAACAAATATTTCATCTACCCACTCTTCATCATTTTCTCTACCTATAACACACACATCAAGACGTTACCTTCAAAAAAATTATGTATAGAAAAGAGCGCATTTTTTACAAGAGAGCTCTCTTCTTCTTCTTGAATTCTTTCTCCAAGCAACAGAAAAATACAACAGATCTCACACCTTTCTTCCCAATAAAAACGGCAGATGATTTTGGCTAAAAAGGGCAGCCATTTCCCTTACCCAAAAAAATCATCATCGTCCTCTTTCTCTTAAAAATTAAGAAAAGGCACAACAAAAAAAAGAAGCCAATTTAATTTCTCCATTCTAAAGAACAGCACAAAGAGTTGAAACCAGAAAATCAACCATCTCCTCTTTACGCAACACACATACATATCTAAATCTTCAACCGACCATCTTACTGGAAATTCAGAGAAAGCAGCAGCGGCAGAACATTAGTGAAACCCAGCTGAAACGACCACCTAAATTAGCCGAGTTCGAGTTTGCCGTTGAGATCGCGTTTGATTTCTCCGGTCGTGTCGTGGTTCTGTGTTGCCTCGGATTTTGATGCTGTTTTTCAGTCGAATTTTCGGAAACAGAATTGCTGATTTTTCTTCACTACTGAGATTTTGGATTATCAGGTTCATTATTACTTTAGTTTCTTCATTTTATTTGGTTAATGTGAATCTACCCTCAGATTTGTTTGCTCGATTTCAGTTGTTGAGTATTCTGTCCGTGCAAAATAGGTGGCATTATTTAGTCGATTTGAAGTTTCTATTGTTTTCCTATATTTTGTGGTTGTCAATTTTGTCAATTGGTTGTTTGGTTACTAGCCTCATGATTTAGCTATTTTGGCAGTTTTTTTGGCTTCTGTGGAATTCAATTCAGTTTCGTGCATTATTCTTCTCTACTTTTATTTTTGGCATTGATTTAAAACACTTAAGGTTCTGCTCACCTCACTACTCCAAAATGACTTCATATTTGAAATGTCAGACATGTACGTGTGTCAATTGCTTCTAGTTTTTCTTATGATTCATTGGTTTAAGCCTATAAAGTGGAAGAACGTAACTAGAAGTTTGATAATTTCAACATGGATAGAGGTGTTATTTGTGTTGGGTGTACGTAGTGCACTTTGCTTCCATTACTTAGTTTCTTTCACTTTGGTTTTCCTTTACTATGTGCTGGATGATGAAGCCGGCGGAAACAAATCTGTGTTTAATTCTTTTTCTTTTGTTTTGTTGATTGGCAAGGTTGTGTTTAATTTTAATCTATTTTGTTGAGGCGAGGGTTGTGGTTTTTGGGTTTAAACTTTAAAAGCAATAGTTTTCATTGAAATTTAAAAGGCAGAGATGGTCTTTGAAGGTTTTAGGCATATGGAGATAAGGATATATGAATTTGCTATCTTTCTCGCACATAAAGATTTGGGTGTCTAAGAATTTTAATGTTTGGCAGCAAAGTGGGTGTAATAGTTGAATCTATTTGTTAGTAGTGTTTCGTTCTTTTTCACTGTTATTCTGTATCAATGAAGTTTCGATTTAGAGTAATTGGTGTAGATTGAATAAGTTTGCTAATGCAATATGGGCTCTATTTGATTTTATTTTTCAGAAGTAGTTGAATCCAGCTAATTTGCTTGTTTGTTAACAGAGGATATATATATATATATATATATATATTAATAAGCTAGCCCATCTTCACTAATCATGAACATCCGTAGTTTGCTTTAGTTGAGTACAGTCCTTTGAAATTAGAATCGAGGTGTGCCATTAGTTGAATTTCCATGGCCCTCGCAGACTTGAAAGTGCCTAGTTGCTCTAGGCGCGCTATTTAAATTAATTTCCTTAAACTCGGGGGTGCATTTCATGTGACCCAAATCTAAATCTCAACAACGTTAAATAAAATGTGTCGTGGACCACGGGTGCATTTCGTGTGGCATGGTTCAAAGACGTGTTTTAGATAACGTTGAATCTTTCTAAAATTAATTAAAAGTGGTTAATAATTTAAAATTATACCATAGGCTAAAACATGTTTTAAAATTAGATAATAGGCCAATTATGATAGTTTAAGCGACCGTGCTAGAACCACGGAATCCGGGGGTGCCTAACACCTTCACTCGGGTTAACATAATTCCTTACTCAGAATTTATGGTTCGCAGACTTCAAAAGGAAAGTCGAAATCTTCCTAGATTTGGGATTTAAAAATAAACCGGTGACTTGGGACACGAGAAAACAAACCATCCCAAGTGGCGACTCTAAACAAAAATGAATAAATAATCTCTTTTCGAATAATGTCACTTAAATTGGAAAACCTCCCTTGTACTACCTTCGGGTGTGTAAAAAGGAGGTATGACAGCTCTGGCGACTCCGCTGGGGAAGGAACCCAAAATCTCTGGTTTAGGGTTCAAGAATTCGAGCTTAGAATAACTGTTATAGTTGGCTTGTTTTATTTGATTTTTACATGTTGAGCCTAATGTGCTAAATGTCGTTTTTACCGCTTTGATATTATTTGGAATGTATATAAATTGCTACGAAACCCTCCTCTCCCAAAGTCTTCTAAATCATCTAAGAAGTGTGCACTTCGTGTGACTTCTTTTCTGTTAGAGTCTTATCCCAATTTTAGAACGAGGTTCAAACAAGTTGCAAAGCCGGTGAAGCTTCTGTATTCCCGGTATGCTCCCTCCCCCCCGGCTCGAGTTGTCCGCTCGGGTAAGCTAGGTCTAGAACAATAAACCCAAGTTTTTAAATCTAGTATAACAAGCCTCATGCCGGATCCCTAGTAGGAACGTTTGTTTGCATCACGTGCATTTGACCTTGGAGACTCAACACAGGGGTTGGGTCTGTCTAGGACAGGTGTACTCAAATGAAAAAGACCATCCTGATGCATCTTACGTGCTACTTGCGCATCTGTTTGTTTCGTCTTGCATGTTGACCGACTTCTAGAACAGAGGAAGAAGATAAAAAATCAAAAAAAAAAAATAATAATAATATAGGAGTGAGAGGTAGGTATTTAGAAAATTCTGAAACTCTGCCGAAATTCCGAAAAAAAAAAAGTCATCTCCAAATGAGCCAAAGTTTTCAACTGTCATGTTTCCCCTGTTCTATCAAAACTGGCGAACTACGCGGGTCTGATTCTCACCGGATGTGAGATACGTAGACAAACCTCATCGGTTCCGGCCCATAATTTTCAAAAAAAAAAATCCAAAAATATTTCCTTTACTTCCTCTCTAGAAAAGTCTTTTTTTTAGACTCCAATTTTCAAAAAATCCAAAAAAAAAAAACAAAAAAAAATATTTTTCATTACTTGCTTCTTTAGAAACTAATTGTTTATTTAAAAACATTATATACAAAAATATTTTCTTTTACTGCTTCTTTAGATCCTAATTGTTTTAATATATATATATATATACAAAAATATTTTCTTTTAATTTCTTCCAAAAATTCAAAAATATTTTCATTTTTCTTTCAAAATTGAAAAGAAAAATCAAAATTCAAAAATATTTCATTTTTTTGAAGCATTTATTTCATAAATTCAAAATAAAATTCCAAAATTATTTTTCTTTCTTCTTTAGAAGTTTTTTTTTTCTATCGAAATTCCAAAAAAAAACAATAAAAGTCTAAATTAAAAAAAATATTTCTTTCGAAATTCCCTAAAAAAAAAAAATTTTGAAATCAAAAATATTTTCTTTCTTGCGGAAATTAAAATATTCCATAAAAAAAGAGTTAGTTTATTTACTTTATTTCTGGTCTTCCCGAAC